GTTACTTTGCCCTATTCCTTGTGCAACACAGCCATTATAAAATATTACCTGAAAACTCTTCCAAAAAAGCCTAAGAGATTTGTTTGAAATACTACAAAATATTTTCCAACACAAGTCTGATAAGTCAAGATCATCATGGTGAGTGACAAGTTGCTTCAGCTTTTATTCTAGCTACTCTTCTCAGGGCACTACTAGCACAATATGTTGATCTAATAATATCATATTGAAATACATCACTATGACAACTAAACCCAACAAGCACAAATAAAACTACTACCTTAATAAAACACATCTCCAGTTGTTAATGCTGTAACAAAAAGTTAAATGCTGCAATCTAAGGCAAACTCCTCAGATTGGAGAACTGTATTAGAAAGAACATAGCATACTGGATTATGTTTGACATGAAACAGGAAAGTAAACAGCAGATCTTTTGAGAAATATTATTATTTCTACAAGGAACACTGGCAGATCGAAAAGGATTGCAATGAACACCAAAATCAGTTTCTTTACCAGCTACAGCAGAGGGGTGGAAATCATCTGTTACAAGGGCCGGATCTGACATAAATGTCACTTTGTTGGGCCGGGCCATGTTTGCCATAAAACATAATGCCAGGTACCGGAGATATAAACTGTATAAAGGACAGCAGCTGGTAAGCTCCATGTTGGTGAATCCTCATTGCAAGGCCTATGGACTAGGAGGGAGGTTAAAAGGAAAACCCATAAGGGCGGACTGGAGTGGTGCAGCACTGGGCAGATGCTCCCACAAATTCTACCACACAGACGAGGTTGTTCCACCATGCTGAAGCCACAATCAGAGTGGCTCTGCCCACTCCTCCCATGCAGTCACCAGTTCCCTCCCTTGCACTAGTTGTTCACAGGACGCATAAGACCCCTAGAGGCCGGTTCTGGCCCTAGGCCTTATGTTTGACACCCCTGAGCTATAGACATGAATATGGGGGCATCTTTCTGTAAATAAAACACACATGCTTCTATCTTCTTTTGGGGGGTATTTTTCGTACTTTTCATATGTGCCTGTGTGTGCATGTGAATGTGTGTGCATCTAGAAGTCATGGTGACCTCTGATGCCTGACTGTGTGGGCACCTAGAAGCTATGATGACCTCTGGTGAGTGACCCCTACTGGGGGCCTGGGGGATATCCAGAGAGATGGCTGAATAAAGCCTGCCCCCACCTCCTGCCTCTGGTATTTCAAGGAGGCCTCCCATCCAAGTACTTGCCAGAGTCGACCCTGCTTAGCTTCCGAGATGTGATGAGATCGGACTTGCCTGAGCTATCCAGGTTACAGCTTCAATCTTCCATTAAGATAGGGAGAAGTTATGCCTTCCAACTCTAAGCCTCCGATCTACTCTTACAAGCAGACTAAACTAATTTATATTTATAAACACAGTTATATTTACTTATTTAGAAAATTCATATGCCGCCGCTGCAGAGGCCTTGTTAAGAACATAGCACTTCTTCATGCCATCCTCTTCTGATAAGATAAAGACGGATCCCACAACTAATCCATAAACACTGGAGGGTTCTTGGGTGAAGGCAACCTCAAATTATCATCTATAAGAACTTAACATAATTTTATTAATGAATATTTAATACACATTTCGCTTTACTGTATTCATTTACTTATTCATTAACATACACTCTTTCTTCCCTCAAGAAGCTCAAAGCAACATAAAGATTGCTCCCAGGTAATCAGCTACCCAGGCTGCTTTACAGTGCCAGACTTTTTAAACTGCATCAGTAAAACTGCATCATCTGCCTTCATCCTATTTGCTACATTGAATGTGCACACAGCCTTTGCACTGTTTATCTGTTATTCCATTTAGTAGAGGCTCCTTTTCCTGTTTCACAGCAAGCCTGTGACCTGGCAGTCATTCACAGAGAAAATGGAGGTCTGCTGAGAAAGCACATTTATTGCTTTGGATACAGTGATTCTCTAGATGATTATTAAAATACTGTTGGTTAAACTACAATTTATGACATCCAAATTCAAAGCTCCAAAGCAGCTATGTCAAAACAGAGCCAATAATTTTGCAAATCTGTGCTTAAGTGTAGGTTTAGGAGAACTTCCTTAATACAAAATAGACAATTGTGAAATACTCCCTTGACTCTGCATGTCTTGTAGAAGTAAACCAAAACATTAACTACACAATATATTAATTACGTTCTTGTTTTTAAAAACCTAAATAGAAATGAAGGGATGCATTCCCTCACAACTGCATTGTTTTGGACATGATCCATATCTTTTATTGTTATTGGTATACAATTCCTCCTCTCAGCCAGCATTCAAGAGGAAACCTTAATTAGCAATGTTATATGTTTAATCCAAACATATATAAAACCTTTGGAATTCAAACAGCAAGGCAGATTGCAGAGTTCAAATACAAGTGGTTCAAATAGCAATATATACTTTGCAGGGCACAGGGATCTTTCAAGGCACTCTGCCTGCTGGACAGGGCTTATTCTCTTGTTACAGATCTACAGTAACACTTGTCCTCTAACATGTCATATTTTAGCTGACTCAAAGACATGGATCCTCTACCAAGCTGCAGTAGTAACAAAATCAAAACAAAATAAAAAAGAAAGGCTTTTTTTTAGTTTAAAAAAGATAACTGAGACAGAAAACTTGAGCTTCAACATTTACCACCAGAGTTCAAGCATAACAAGGATATGTTACGTTATAGGATAAAACTGCACTCATGCTGATTTATAATCTGGGATTTCTGGATTCTAAAAGTTAAATACTAGGAAGTGGGAGGAGAGTCATTTCCACTCAACTGTACACTGTTGTCATCATTATTCTAGCCTTCAACCAATAGATGTGTGACATACACACATTTTACAGTCACAGAATAGGCTGATCAACCAAACAACTAGCCTACTTTATTAACCTGTAGGCTTAACTCTTCAATTTGAAAATGTAGATATGTTGAAGTTTACAAGATGCTTACATTTCAGTCATTGTGGAGTTAAATGCTGTTAGTTAGCAGGATGTTACACTACTAGTCAATGTGGGAAAGTCTGTGGGAGTTGTTTATCCTAATTAAGTGACCTGTAACCTTCGGATTGGTCAGTTAACATCTTGTTTGTATGAAATGCTTTTGATCTTGTATGCATGTATTCAGAAGTTCATGGCTCTTTGTGTTGAACCTGTAACCCAAAGGAGTATTGCTGTAGCCATGTAACAGTTTAGAGCTAGGATGTATTCTCTGTTTATTTTTATCAGGTTTGCTTTTCAGTAAACTTATATGTTTTCTTTATAAACCTATGCAAAGTGTGTGGCTCTTGTTTTTGCACACAGTCTTTATTTAAAGGCAAAACCCCCAACAAGATATCCCTACTGAAGCTGTACCTACTTCACCCATGCATTGGATTGCACAATTAAAGGCAATTCCAGGTATGAATTTAGGAACTGGGAGATCACAGTTTCTGCCTCAGTGCTCTTACAATCATTCTGATATTAGCCCCCAGAGGTATGAATGACCACTAAGGGATCACAAACATTAATCACAGCTGGCTAATGCATTCATTGAGCTCAGAGAGTATTTGTATGTGTGTTTTTTTAAATCCCCACTGCCAGCAAGGAGTATATTTATACATGTATTTCAGAAACTAAGACATACCTTCTGTTATTTCAGCTGGGATGACCAAGAAATGGATTGTTTGGGCAAAAAGGAAACAGTGTATATGATGCTTTATACAAATTCCAGTTTGGATAATTAGAATTTGCCTCCTTGTGTTTCTTTGCAGTGTCAAATGGGTATGCAAGCCACTATGATTTCAAGAACTATACTGCATAGGTTGAATACCCCTACTAGGGGTGTGCAGGGGGAAAAAATTGGGGATTTTGGATTTGGGTATAATAAAGCTGAATTTCTTCGGTATTCCGGAATATACCGGAATACCAATACCAGTATTGTATTGGTACCCGAAAATATTTGGTATTCCCCAAAATTTCCAGCTCAATTATATCCCATGGGGCCATTGTAGACAATAGCAAAAATCTTCTAACAAGTATTCAGGGGGCTGGGAGGAAGGGGGTTTGAGGTAGGGGCACCATATTTTGTACTGTAGCTGCTGGACCCTCTCTCCAAAAGAACCTCCAAGTTTGGAAACAATTGGACCAAGGGGGTCCAATTCTAAGGGCATCCAAAGAAGGTCCCCCAATCCTCCATTGTTTCCTATGGAAGGGAATGGGAAAAAGGTAGGCAGCAGTGTCTCCCAGAGAATCTCTGCACTAGAAAGTAAGTGAGGTGTGGTGGTGTGAGGGGGCATGTTTGCAAGGCCAGCAGCAGAATCAGTGCAATGTGCCCACCCACCAGAACCAGTGCCACTGTGGCAGTCAGTGCCCAAACCCAACAGGACTCAGGTCAAATCTGAGGATCTCTGGGGGCATGTTTGCAAGGCCAACAACATCTCTAATTCTTTCTTCACTGAAAATTTGTGCTATTTTCTTTTTCTCTATTTCTTTTTCTGGGCTATTTTCTCTTCTGTTTTGCAGCCTAACGATCAAATAGCATTATGGTCATCCTTCAGTTAGCAATAATGAGTTTCTATTTTCACACAGACCAACAGAATAAACCTACATGAAACACTGCAATTACTTATTTGTCACCTAAAGCTTCTTGAACTCCATTCCTGAAAGCTCTTTTGCTAAGTTTTTTCAGAGTAGTACAATTCACTTCATTTAACAAGTATCTGTACTAGATAAAACCTATTTCACACATTACTTGGGGTATCTATGTACCTCTAGACAAAATAAACTTGCCTGAAATTGCTCAGTCAAATAGAATGCTTAAACTGCATTACAAATCAATTGCGTAGTATTTCCTCTTGGGAAAATGGGCTACATTTTATATCACTCAATAAAATAAATCTGTTCAATCAAGCAACAAACTAACATATCAATAGTTCATTCAGTGATTTTTTTAAAAAAGAGGGTCAGCTTATCGAACTAATGTAACACAAATCTAACTCCACTTACAATTGCTGGGGGATCGTTCCATTCCTCGTATGATGTAGCAGCATATGGGTAAATCCGGTCATTGATAATCTTAAGGGTTGCCAGAGCAATTGCTTTCATTGACTGAAAATAAGCTTCCCAGAACCATCTTGCCTGCAAATAAATAATAAATATCATCATACTACATCATACTACATTTACACCAGGCATCAACTACTAAAATCTGTATATGGTTTTTAAACATATTTATACACTCACAATTTCCAGCATACTCTTGCCATCAAAAAATGGTAACAATGCTGGAGTCCTGAAGACAGAAGCAGGCTTGGTTCTAATGGCTCCACAGAGTTATAAAGGTATGAAGTAACATGCTACAATGTGGGAAACAACTGAAAGGAGTCTGCATTTGTTGCCCCAGACACTGGAGGTCATAAAGGACATAGCAGACTAGATTCCTACCAAAACAGTAGTGCCAAATACAACCCGACCTTTTTATATAGTCAATGGTTCCCTATGTATAAAGTGCTGCAGAAGAGAAGTTTCAGATGGAAAGGCAGGCAATAAATAGTTAACATAAACAAATAAACTCTTGTACCACTGACACTGTGAGGTTTGGACCCACCAGTCCTGAAAAGTGATGTTTTATGCACAGAGATGCACAATATTCTGCAAAATCCTCCCTCTATACACCAATTACTTGCAATGATTATTGCTGTTTTGGTGGATATATAAGCCAGTCCGGGACTTTAGTCATGCTTGCCATCCTGTTGTTCAAGCTTTTGTGCTTTAGAGAGTGTGCGCACACATGGTGGCAGGCAATACATTTCTTTGCATAAGAATAGGTTAGCAAAGTATTTCCAAGTTATGAACTTGGCAGAAAAAGACATTCCTGTTCTAGCTCATAATAAACAATACAACAATGCTAAGTACTGACTAAAGGGTTCCAGGCAGGGAATGTGCTGCTCCAGCCAGCGTTAACTGTAGTTTAGTAAAACTGCTGTGTATCTTTAAGAGTAGTTGCACCTGGAAATTGTAGTTCTCAGTTAGGAGTCCCAGAAGCTTCCCTGACTGGCTCATTAACAGTAATTTCCTGAGCTCAGGGGCGCAAAGATAGGAGTTTTACTGTTCTTTTCTGTTTCTTTGTCCATCAGCCCTTACTGCAAGGAGAGGGGAAGCCCATCTCTTTTCTCACCACGGCTATAGAACTGACCTAGATCACAAGATGTAACTTTCCACCCAGCTATCAGCTTGATTGTGAGTAAATGATCTTCTGCATGCGTGTGAAGTTAAATAAAGATGATTTAAGTTCTCCTCAGTGGTCGTGCGTTGACTCATACCTAGAAAGTGTTGGCTTAGCGCAGCTTGCGCTGGACAGGACATCATAGAGGCCATAGCATTTGAGAATTCCAACCCTATTAGAAATTCAATGTATGATTTTGTCAACTGATGAGTCACTCTTGTCATAAAAATTTAATCCAACGTCAAGAGAAGCAATGGGTGTTTGGTAATTAATTTGTTGATTGTCTCTAATACAAAGCTGTATCAAACAGAATTTATGTCCTTGGAACTAAATTGACTCTGTAAAGTATACCCAATCCCAAAGGAAAGATGCTATGCCAATAATCATAGCTCAAGTGTTCTGGCATTACAGAAGTTCTTTTCCCAGCTTAATTGTCCTACAGAGATCTTCAACACATTTAAGTGTCCAGAAGCAGTTCAAAACCTCCCCAAGGCTCAGTATCAGCCAGGAGTATGAGAATGAATCTGTGTAGGACAGCCAGCAAATATTTTTATTTCTATTGCACCGGCTGAACACAAAATTTGCAAAGCCAGAACACAAAAAGAAAAAGCATAACATACTCAGCTGGCTAAATGCAATCTAGGTCTATCAGGTTGACTTTTCTAACTGTGAAGAAAGACTAGCACAAAAAAAATATAATCATGCTGAAATAACACAATTAAACACAACAGAGGAACTGGCTCTTGGAGCTACAGTTTTCTGGATGACATAATCAAGCAGTTGCATTGTGCTGCTGGAGGCTGTGATGCTACTGCACATAGGTCAAATTATTATTCTGCAACAGAAATAGTGATGCCTATGCTTATGAAGGGACAAGTCAAATGCAAGCCCAATGTAAATAGACTACTCTCATTCAGAAGTAGAAAATGCTCGATGCAGTTTGTGAGCAATTCTCATAGACTGGTAGGTAATAAATTCCTTCTTTTGGAGCTCAAACTCAATACATGCAGCTCAGGTGAAAAGACTACCAAGGCTGCGGTCACACGGAGCAGTAGCCACGCTACAGAGACGGAAGATAGGCGGATTTTCCAGGCGCGATCACAGCGCCACATCTCGGAAGCGTAGAGCTCCCGTGGCGAACCCAAGGCTTCCCGCTGAAGATGCGGAGTAAAAAACTAGTACCTCCGAGGTACTAGTTTCCGGAAACCGCGGGGCAAGGGCGGGCGCCTGATCGCGTTTCCGGTGGTAGGTGGTGGCATCCAGCGCCCGCCCATGTCCTGTCGCTAAAAGATTTTTTTTCCAAGTCTACATGGGATGCGCACAAGCACCCAACGACACATGCGCACACTTCGTTTAAAAACAAACAACACAGCCCCCTCCTCTTTTCCGTACCCCCCCACTCCTGCTCGAGAGGAACTCTCTGCACCGGGCAGCAGAGGGGGAGGTGCAGGGGGGGTGGCGGGAGGGCGGCCCGGCTGAAGCTCCTCCTGGAGGGGACCGGACGGAGGACACGTTGCATCCCCCCGCATTTTCCTGCCCGTGTGACCAGGTCCCAACTTCTATTTCCTTCACAAAGTTTGTTAACACATCAGCTGATCCTGCATCTGAGAACAGCTGGAAGTTCAGAGTTGAACCACCAATACTAACACTGGAGCTAAGAGGGAAGACTCACTCAGTTCACACTTTGGCAATGGTAAATATTCAGACAACACACACAAGAGGGAAGGTGTAACATGATCTAAATTTGAATCAACAACAAAAAGAACTTGGGTGCTCAGATTTGGGTTTGGCTGGTTTTATTTCAAATAAGCAGAATACACCTTAAAATTCTACAGTGATCAGATACCTTAGAGCTACTATACCATGGCTGAAACTCTGAAAATCATAACCTTGGGGGCAGTATCTGACAATGTCAATGGCTGTCTACATGGGACATATGCCAAGTCTAAAATACCTTCAGTGGCTGCCTATTGATTCCCCCCAATTCAAAGCCTGGTTATTATATTTAAAGCCTTATATTTGTTTCCCAGCTCCCTTGAGGAGGCAATTGTCAGACCTTTGCTTAAGAAACCCTCCAGAGATAAAAAGGAACTGGCCAAATAGCGCCCAGTGTCTAATCTGCCTTTCTTGGGGAAGGTAATTGAGCAAGCAATGGCCGATCAGCTCCAGGTCTTCCTGGATGAGACATATGCCCTCAACCACTTTCAGCTGGCTTCAGACCTGGCTTTGGGGCAAAGACAGCACTGGTTGCTTTGGTTGATGATCCCCGTATACATCTGGATAAAAGCATGCTGTGCTGTTGATCTATTGGCAGCCTTTGATACAGTTGATGCTTGGTCATGATTGGCCGCCTTGCTTCCCTGGGGATGAGGGGCACCGCCCTTGTTGGTTCTCCTCAATTGTCCAGGGATGCTCTTGTGAGGGTTGCTATCAGGGAGAAGAGGTCTTCTTGATGAGAACTGAATTGTGGAGTCCCACAGGGTTTAATCCTCTCTTTGATGTTAATCACAAAACTGTGACTGACTTATTTTGGCCATGTCATGTGGAAGAACTCACTAGAAAAAGCAACTATGCTTGGATTGGTTAGTGGCAAAAGGAAACCTGGCCACCAAAGAACACAATGGCTAGACACCATAAAAGTCAACACCAGCCTGTGCATGGAACAACTCAAAGAATCAGTACAAGACCAGAAAATGTGGAGAGAGCTGGCCCACAGAATAGCCAAGAGTAAAATATGACTGAATGGCTAACAGCAACAACTGATGTTATTGAACATATATATGCACCCACTTGCAGAGATCATCGAGAGGTTTGGAGATGGGTGCCATCAATATGCTGATGATACTTGAGCACTTCCTCCTGCTGTATAAGCAGCCAACTGCAGGGTTCTCGGCACTATCCCAGTGTCTGGATGCTGTAGGCCACTGGTTAAGGGGGAGTTGGCTGAAGTTGAATCTAACAGTGGTAGGGCTTCTGGAGTTGGCCCCGCTCGTGGACCTCCTGATGGCACCTGGTTTTTGGCCACTGTGTGATAACGGAGTGTTGTAGTAGATGGGACACTGGCCTGATCCAACATGGCTTCTCTTATGTTCTTATCCAAGATGGAGATCATGTGGTTGGGAAAGACTGAGCTGTTAGCTGGAGAGTCACTCCCGAGACCGTATGGTGTCCAGCTGACAGCTCTAGACACTGTAAAGAACCTCAGGGTGTGATTGGATTCTGTGCTATCATTGGATAAGCAAGTGTCCATGATAGCATGGTCAGCATTTTATCACCTATGCCAGGCCCATCAGCTGGCTCCTTATTTGTCTGGGTCAGACCTTACCACATTGATACATGCAATGGTCACCTCCAGACTGGACTGCTGTAATTCACACTATGTAAGGCTACCCTTGAAAATGTTTGAGAGACTGAAGGTAGTCCACAATGCAGCTGCCATTTGGAAGTAGCTGCACTGGCTACCAATTGGTCTCGAGATCCAACTCAAGATATTAATCAAGATATAACCTCAGTGGTCTGGGACCTTCATACCTATGGGACCGACCAGTGGTACTTACCGTGAGGGGTCCTTCTCCTCTGAGGATTGGAGGACATCTTGTGGGTGATTCCCATCTGTCACTCAGGGAGGCAGGAACAAATCAAACTTCCTGTTTCCTGTGGTGGGAGTCACCCTGGCTCAGTTTTGGTGCTCCGAAAGCAGTACTAGAAGATAATCAACTTAAGTAACAATTATCAACTTTTCATAAGACTCAAGTGAGAAAAAACTGGAACCACAAAATAACAACATAACAGGAAGGAATGCAAGAATTTCAGAGAGATATTCCCTCAGTATTAAATAAGAGTGATAACAAATGTAGAAGATGACGACCTGGGAGGGCCAAGATGTCCTCCAATCCTCAGAGGAGAAGGACCC